CCTGAGGCATCACATCCATAGTGTAACTTCTGTTTAAGTTCTCCTTTGTGCAGAGCACCCCTGAAGATTGTTTCAAGCTGCTGCTGTTACTGCTGGCTCCCAGGCAGGGAGGGGATTGCAGTGAACACCACGGGCAGCAGATGGGAGCAGCAGCAAACCTGGATTTGCTGGATTTGTGCTGCAGGCAGCACCTGGAGAGACAGGAATGCCAGCTGCTGTGAAGGAGGAGCTGGGGGAGGCTGCGTGGGGGTGGCTCAGCAGAGCTGCAGAACTGTGTCACAAGCACTGCTGGAGGCATTTCTGGAGATGGCTTTGTGTACAGCTGCAAAATTCCCTGGCAGTGGAGAATAGCGTGTAAGGCTGACCTCTGTCTCCTTAGTTATATTCACTTCTGCACCACAACCTGCTCTGGCCTCATATTTTCCCCACTACCCCAATCTAAAGACTGCTACCCTATTCTGGTACATCCATTTCCACTCATTATTCAGCCATGTCCATAACCATCTTTTTTAGAAGCCTGGATTTGCTGTGCCCTGGTCCTGTCAAACCTGACCCACGGCATGAATCTCTATTTAGAGGCCATAACTTCCATGCTGAGGCAGTGATTGACCATGCTAGAGGTTAGGTCATCCCAGAATGATCCATCCTGATTCATCTCTGACTTCCTGGCCTGCTCTACCTTATCAGCTTGGCACTTGTCCCACCCACAGCCAGTCCTCCTGCCACCAATCTCTATTTAGAGGCCATAACTTCCATGCTGAGGCAGTGATTGACCATGCTAGAGGTTAGGTCATCCCAGAATGATCCATCCTGATTCATCTCTGACTTCCTGGCCTGCTCTACCTTATCAGCTTGGCACTTGTCCCACCCACAGCCAGTCCTCCTGCCACCATATTTTCTGCAAAAATCCCGTGCCCAGGATTTCTCTCCTGGGAAGCTGAGAAGCCTCAGAGAAAAAGGAAAACAATAATTATCTGATTTGCTTCTCCTGTGTTTTGCTGCTTTGGAATGTGGTACGTGATTGTTTCATTTATTTCATGTGAATTGTTTTTACTTATTGGCCAATCGGGGTCCAAGCTGTGTCAGACTCTGGAGGAGAGAGTCACGAGTTTTTCTTTAGTATCCTAGCAAAAAAAAATTTCCCAAAAATATAACAGCAACAGGTTTAGTGGTCTTTAGCTAAGGAGACCCACTTTATGTGAGAAAATGTGTGCAGTCCTACAAACAGAGGGAAACTTCCTTTGCCCCTGAGCCTCAGTTTAGTGGGGCTGTGAAGAGGAAAGGCCTCACATTCTTTGTTTGAGGAGCTTGCCCCTGGCTGTGCTGGTGCACAGGGCACATCCTCTTCACCTGGATGCTGCTGGGGCTCAGCTCTGTGTCCCAGTAGTACTCTGGGGACAGCAGGCGAGTGGGCTTGTGCTGCAGGAGGTACCTGTTGAGGTGGCTCTCGTGGTGCCAGGAGGTCTCAATGCCATTTTCTCTGTCCTGCAGCAGCCCTGCAGAGCAGGCTCGGGTCAGTTTGTACACCTCGGACACGCTGCCCCCATAGAAGCTGGCTGTGTAGTAAAAATCCCCTTGTCCCTCAGGGATGGCAGGGTGTGACTCGGGGTGTGTCTCAGAGGCTTTGTTGTCCTGCTGTGGGGTGACCTGCCAGGAGCTGATGGTGGCCACCAGGGCATCGATGATCTCCACGCCGATGTGTGCCAGGAGCTGGACGTTGACGTCCATGGAGTACAGATAGTCCACCTCGTGCTGGAACTGCCTCTGGATGTAGGAGCTGATGATGTCCATGCGGCTCCTGGAGATGTCCTGCCACCTGGGGTCCTGCTGCACAGGGATGACAAACAGGTGGTTCTCAGGGGCCATCTGAAGGTGGGAGGTCTTCTCGGGACTGTCTGTGAACAGGTAGAAGTTCACGGGGTGCCCAGCAAGGAAGTATTTGTTGGCAGAGTTCATGAACCCTTCTATGAACTGGACGTATCTAAGAGACATGGAAAGGACAAGAATGGAGAGGTTTCTCCTGCTGAAGAACAACAGCTTTTCAAATTCATTTTCTTTGTCTTTTTCCATCCATTACTCCTTTTTATGATGTCAGTGCTCTTTATTTAACACAGCTGCTGCCCTTCAGACCTTCCCCATGCTGCTGCACATTTATGTTTTAGCTTTCACTAAATTCACATTTTAGCTTTTTACAGAACAGGTGCTTTTCACCCAATGCTGCTCTCTAATATCACTCCATAATGTAAATATTTCCTCTGATCCCTCTCTGGCACTCTCTCTGCAGTGGAATATTTTAACTTCCTAAAGAGGATCATAGAATCAACAGAGAATCACAGAATGGTTTGGGAGCGACCTTAAAGACCATTCCATTCCACCCCTGCCATGGCAGGGACACCTTCCACTGTCCCAGGCTGCTCCAAGCCCTGTCCATCCTGGATTTGGACACTTCCAGGGATCCAGGGGCAGCCCCAGCTGCTCTGGGCACCCTGTGCCAGGGCCTGCCACCCTCACAGTGAGGAATTTCTTCCAAATATCTGATCTAAATCTACCTTCTTCCAGTGTAAAGCCATTCTCCCCCATCTGTCACTACCCACCTTTGTAAAAAATCCCTCTCCCCTTTCCCGTAGGACCCTTTAGGTACAGGAGGGGCTCTAAGCTCTGCCTGGAGCCTTGTCTTCTCCAGGCTCAACAACCCCAATTCTCTCAGACTGTTTTCATAGGAGAGGGCCAAAATTATCAATTGAATAGTTGTGATTACCTGAAGTTGCTGTGTAACTCAAAGATGCCAGTGGAGGTAGAGGGTATAGAGTATATAGAAAAAAAGAACTTCCCCAAGCTGTAACAGTGTGATTAATGTTTTTACTAGAGCTAATATTTTGCCTTTAAACTCTTACAGAAACCCAATAAAATCTCAACTTCACAGAATGTTTCTATTTTTTAGTGTTGGATAGAGGGAAAGCTTGTTGTTAGAACTGTGGCAGCAGCTAGAATTTTTATTTAAATGGGCCAAAATGCTAGTTATATTTCCAAGGATATTTTCTTGTCATATTCAAAACAATGTCCCTGCCAGCTGTCTTACTTTGGAAGGTGACACTGACATGTCACATTTCTGCCAGCTTACAGCTGCTCACATTCAGTCTTTAGAATGTTTCTCACTTGTGCTCTGTGGCATTCACATTCTCTGA